AGGGTTTTGATTTTTAGGTCAAATTGAGATTGATTAGAGCATCTGAACTTCACTAAAATTCACTGTCAATCTGCAACCTTGGTAGAAGTAGCCTGCTTAGCATGTTGGGTATGTTGATTATGATGTTGTTAGGATTCGGAAGTACATTGGCTTTTGTGGGTTTTATTTGGCTTAAGAAATGGTTATCGGCTTGGTAAATGGTTATCTGCAACCTTGGTAAATGGTTGTCGGCTTAAGAAATCATATGTGGGTTTTATTTGGATTAAATCCTATTTTAGGAGTTTGCTGCTGCAAAAGCAGATGTAAGTGAGATGAAACATGAAACTGGGTTTGGCAGTTGAGAATTGAGCTGAGAAAATGGGGTAGTGTTTCACTTTATCATCCTTTTGTGTTCAATCTGATGTTGTTAGGATTCGGAAGTACATTGGCTTTTGTGTTTTGGTAGTTATAATGCCTTGATTTGTTCGCTTTAATTTTGGATTTCCATATGAATGTTCATCTGTTGAATGCAAATTATGTTACTTTTGGTAAATGGTTATCGGCTTAAGAAATCAAAGTGGCTTAAGGATCAACTTTGTTGTTATAAAATTGCCTTTGCTAGGTAACTCATGTATACAACTTACAAGTACTCCTATATTAATTTGTTTAGTGAATATGATAAATTGTTGTATATTTACCAAAACCAGCAAAAAATGCCCAATTAGATTCAAAGAAATCCAGCCTTTTTTCAAGACGAACTTCAGAAAAATTCCATTTGTACCTAAAAGAGTTCAAAAGGAGCATTAGCACACACTTATCTAGGAAATTAGATTAAGCCAAAAAGGTATATGCACCACGTACTCGAAACAGTAATAGGCATACATCCAGGACAGAAGCAGAAAATTTACTGCCTTCCCCACATATGGTATATATCCAGTCACATATACCTGCAGAAGCCATCGATTCTGTCATCCAAAAAGTGGCACATAAGCCATGGAGCATATTGCAATTTGAATATAAACTCCTCTCTCTCTATCGTTCTCTAAGTCTAATAAGTATGAAAACTAAATCCTGTTCCTCCCTTTATGAATCCATACACCCAAATAAATAAAGAATAAAAGATATCTATACCTCTAGGAAGAAACAGGTCAAAAGAAGTACTGAATACACCTGCTCTCCTATACCAATCATGACCCTGCAGATTAAACAGATGCATACACAACTCATGAGATACATAAATATCTATTCAACAAGAAATGTCTGAAATAATAAATATATAAAACAATAACAATAATAAAAACCTTAAGCTCTATTTAAGAATAAGTTAATTACCCTTCTACGCCAGCAGGTCTTTCCAAACCAACATCATTTTGTCTGACAGGATCCAATGTGGTTGGCGTGGATCTCCCCATTGCAGAAAATCCATACTTAGCAATGTCATTGTACCTTTAGTTAAAATAAAATTGTAGATTTGGATAATCACATAGTAGAAATTGGAAAAAGAAAGACATCGGGAAGTGGAAATGTCAAGACATGCAGAACTTTAAACAAAATATCATATATTAAAAACTATTGTCACTCCAATCAGAACTTTAAACATTCTGCATTGCAAGAAATAGATGTATACCTTACCTGTGCTCAGTTCATACCTATGGTAATTAAAACAGAATCAAGTAAATAACGTAGGGGTAAAACAATTAAGCAAAAGGGGATAATTTGGTAGTACCAGAGGTTGCTCAGGATAATGCTGAATATGTACAGTGGGTAGAACCAAGTTACCTGCAAAGCAAAAATAAATAAATGAAAATTATGTATTCCGTGAATTGAGAAAGGAATTGAATCCCTTCAGTAATTCAGGCATCTATAGTGATAAAGAAATATTTTGTAAGATAACAAACAAACCAAGATTACATACCAGTACAATAATCAGAAACAAGAGAATTAAACATCCAATATTACATGACACATACACTTTCTTTAGCCATATCACGAAGATTACAAAACTTAATGAGGCAAAACATTACACAAAAAATGCATATTCATCCATTTTGCCACTAAGAAATATTCAATAGAATGCCATCCATGCACAAAGTGAGGATCTTAAATTGGCTGCATACTTACATAAAAGAGTTGTACGAGTCCATGCCGCAAGACGGAATAAAATTTCAATGTACCAACAAATGAGCAGAGCTCTTGAGAACTATATTCTGGGCATCTATCAGGTAATATCCAGTGTAGAGTTGGGATGATGACTGAGTTAAGGATAATTATACTGCAAAGAGACAGAATAAGGAATTTGAATGTCAATACTAACGCATGCAGATTTAGAATGCACTTTGTCCAGCAAAACACTGAAAGCACTTTTATATGTAGCTTCTACGTTATGTGATGTCTATGTAGAGGTAATACTGGGAAATGGAAACTAAGATAACCAGATATAAGCATCTATAAGCATCTAAAAGCTATTATCGATTTTATATTACATATTCATCCATGATTCGTACAATATCAGTACTTGCACACATTCTTTCTTTCACATCGGAGTAAGTTAAGCTTTTGAGAACAGCATGTCATTGAAAACTCATGTTCAGGTAACGTTGCAAGGTGATGTCCAAACCAGGTTGAACTAAAATTTGTGGTCAGGAGCTGTATCTTTGTCCATTTGTTTTCACCTATGAGGAAATGTATCTGATATTTTGAACATTTCTGAATCTATCAGTGGCTATGATTTATGCATTGTTGGAAGAGATGTTTCTCTTAGTCTAGTTGTGCAACTTCCTTTACTGATATTTGGAAAATGTCTTGAGTTTGAATCTTCATCCCTAGTTTAAAACTGCTCGAATCTTCTGCTTCATATTATCTGACAGCTCTCATTCAGATTTGTTTGACATGTTTTGTTTGAACCTCTCATTCAGATTTTTCGTACATATTTTTTAAAACCCTCTTCTCTACACCCCGAGTTGTATTTTAAACTAAAACACTGCACGATTGATTAGTTCAAGTGCAACTTGTCATTTCCCTACCTATTTTTCCATGATTTCTGTTTTCTAGGTATAAGTATACCTAGAAATTTTGTACTTGTTTCAGTTTGCTTTTGATATTTGCGGTAATGTTGTTTTATCAGCTGATATAGCATAGCTGGATTATATTATTTGGTTTGTTCTTTGTGCCAGATGGAAAGCATGCAGTAGCATAATGTCCTTAATATTTTTTTCCTTTTTTTTTTTGTTTGGATAGATATGGATCGAAGGAAGTTTTTATTGATCTTATTGTTAGAGATGTCTCATTTAGAGACGATTTGCATTTGTACGATTCTTGTGTTGCTGATGCTAAGGGCAAAACAGAGACATGTTGAACGACGCACCTTGACTAACCGTTCACTTGTTAGACGAGAGATTAGTTTGTGTTATCTGAATGGTATAATAGGGAATACTGATGTTGAATGTGTCAACGAATTGAGAATGGATAGAAGGACTTTTGGCATATTATGTGACTTACTTCGTCAAGATGGGAGGGTAAAAACGGATGGTTTGGTCTCTGTAGAGGAGCAGGTGTGTATGACTTTACAAATACTAGCACATCATACTAAGATTCGTAGTGTTGGTGGTAGATTTTATAGGTCGGGAAAGACTATAAGTAGGTATTTCAATAGTGTATTGCAAGGAATTTTGCGATTACAAGGTATCCTACTAAAAGTCCCTCAACCTGTGCCTATTGATTCTACAGATCCTAGGTGGCGATGTTTTAAGGTATGTTGATAATTATTTTCATTTTCCCTAAGCTTTAACTCTTCATTCCCTTTGTATAAATTAACAAAAGCTTTTTTTTTTTTTTAGAATTGCTTGGGAGCATTAGATGGAACACACATTGATGTGCATGTACCTGAAATTGACAAACCAAGATACCGAACTAGAAAGGGTCGAGTCGCAACTAATGTATTAGGTGTGTGTTCAGGAGATATGCAGTTCATATATGTGTTTCCGGGGTGGGAGGGTTCCGCATCAGACTCTAGAGTGCTACATGATGCAATTACTAGGCCTAATGGTTTTAAGGTACCAACGGGTAAGATTATTAGTTAGTCTCAACTTTGTAAGTTAGGTCTAGTTTTGTTTGTGAACTACAAAATACTAATATAAGGTTTTTTTTTTATTAGGTTATTATTACCTTGTAGATGGTGGTTATACAAATGGTGAAGGATTCCTTGCACCCTATAGAGGAATACCTTATCATTTATCTGAATGGGAAGGACGAACACCTTCTAATAAGGAAGAATATTTTAACATGAAGCATTCTAAGGCAAGGAATGTAATTGAACGTTGTTTTGGCTTGCTAAAAGGAAGGTGGGGGATACTAAGGAGTCCATCTTTCTATCCGATAAGGACACAAGGTCGAATAATTACCGCTTGTTGCCTACTACACAATCTTATTAGGCAAGAGATGTCTGTAGATCCAATGGAGAATGTGCCAATAATAGAAGATGGACAAAATACAAAAGAAGGTGAATATGTTGGTAGTGTTGAAACATCTGACCAGTGGACTGCAAAGAGGAATGCCATGGCTCAGGAAATGTATAATGAGTGGAGAGCAATTAGGAACCAGCAACCGAACTAGCTATATGTGTTAATGATAAGATTTTATTTTAGTTTTCCTTTTTATCATGCATATGTTGGATATTATTAAAATGATTGGATATTATGCAAATTGATTCTTTGTATTGTATTTTAGTACATTCAAATATTTTTTGTTTAGGTATGGATAACCACAATAATTTGAAGGCTTCTCAAGAGCCAAAGGGAAGAAGGTGTAAATGGGAAGCATTTGAGGAAGAAGTATTACTATCCGTTCTTGAGGATTTTGTTGCTCGGAAGCAACGATGTGACACAGGTGCTTTCAAACAAGGTACTTTGATTGAAATAGCGAAAGCTGTCAATGTTTTATGTCCTAATTCAAATATAAAGGCAACTCCACATATTGAGTCAAAGTTGAAGAAATGGAAAAAAACATATAGTTCGGTCCTTGACATGATAAACACAAGTGAATTTGCATGGAATGATGTCAAAAAGTGCGTTGAAGTTGACAGTGATGACGCATGGCTTTCTTATGTGCAGGTTCATATCCTATTTTATTTATACATTAGTTATATTCTTGCTGCTATATTTGTTATGCATGCTAAATTTTAGTTTTGCTATGTTCATATAATCTTAGAAAAATAAAGAAGCTGATGGATGGAGAAGCAAACCTTTTCCACTGTACGATAGATTTGCATATATATTTGGAAAAGATCGGGCTACGGGTAATGTAGCCGAAACCCCTGCTGAAATGATGGAGGAACAAAGTCATGATCAGGTTGGTGCAAGTGATATTGGAGGTGAAAATGTTGTATCTTCAATGAACCAACAAAGCCAACAAAGCACCCCATCTGAAAATAGCCAAAGAAAGAGGAAAAGAGCTATGGGAAATTCAAGTGATGGAACCGAGGCAATTATTAGTGGACTGAAAGAATTTTATGTTGAAAGTAGGAAGAGGATGCAAATGGTAACTGAAGCTTTAGTTCAAGGTACTGCAAATCATACTGACATAGCTAACGAACTTGAAGCAATGGGTCTTTCTCCTATGGATCAAATTGATGCATTGACTCTTATTTTGGAAAAACCACAAAATGTGGGAGTGTTCAGGGCAATCAATTCGGGACTCAAGAAAGTGTTCGTCCAAAGGCTTTTAAGCGACAAAGCAAGCGGATGAGTATATTATGTGGTGCCCTTAGACATGGATGTATTTTATTAATCGTACAATCTTAGGTTATGGCTTCTAACTTAGCTTTGCACTATGACGTATTTTGGCTAATGTTAACTAGGATTTTGTAAAGTATGGAGATCTACTTTGGAATGCTATACTATAGTTAACTGGCATTTTGTAAAATATCCTGGATGAAAATTTAGTGAATGATGTATTTGTCGGACTAAGAAATCCTTGGATCAAGTTATGTTGATATAAGTATTTGATGGCTAATGACGTTTAATGTGTGATAAGAAGACAAATTAAATCAACTTTTAAGGGCAAGTTGTGGATTGATTACAATAACAATTCAAGAGATTAAACTCAGGGCAATGTGCCCAAATATTTGTAGTAATTTGTAAGATTGTTACTCCCATTTCAATTTCAATGCTGCTACACCTATGCCAACCCCAATTCCAATTCCAAACCCTCCAATTTTTAGGGCGTTGGGCACATGTATTGGAGCTATTAAAATAGAACAATAATGTAATCCTAGTCTAAGCAAACACAAATATGGTGAATAATCATGTTTTCATTATCCTGCTTCTTAGTCCGACACTGCACCAAACGCTTCACTAAGTTAGTCCAGCTTAGTCTAGTCTAAGCCAGTCCAACTTAGTCCCTGCAGCTAGTCCAGTCCGAGACAGTCCGGTGCAACAAACGCACCCTAAAGGAGCTATGGAACAAATAATTGTCAATTACTTTACCAATTTATTTGATTCCAGGGGGCTTGGGTGGTGGATGATGTTTTTCATTGGGAGAAACCCAAAGTCACAACAGCTATGAACCAGGATCTCCTATTGCCGTTTACGAACGAAGAAATTAAAGATGTTATCTTCCAAATGCATCCCACAAAAGCCCCAAGGCCAGATGGAATGTCTCCAGGTTTTTATCATAAGCAATGAGATGTTGTTGGACAAGATGTGTGTAATGGGGTGCGGCATGTGTTGAATTCAGGAGAATTGCTTTGGAAAATTAATTTTACGCATGTCACACTCATTCCAAAGAACAAAGATCCAACCAAGATGACGCAACTTCGACCTATAAGTTTATGCAATGTGATTTATAAAATTTGTTCTAAAGTCTTGACAAACAGGCTCAAACAAATTTTGTCGCAAGTTATTTCTCATTCCCAAAGTGCATTCGTCCTGGGTAGGTTGACTTCGGATAATTGCTCATTATATTTATAAGAAGAAGAGTGGTTGAAATGGGGTTGTGGCGCTCAAATTGGATATCAGTAAAGCTTACGATCAACTTGAGTGAGGGGTTTCTTGAACAAATGATGAGAAAATTGGGCTTTGCGCGGATTCAGCTAGTTATGGTATGTGTGACCATGATTTCTTACTCATTTAAGCTTAACGGCAAACCTGTGGGGTATGTTTTTCCTAAACAGGGTATCCGCCAAGGTGATCTATTGTTCCTTTTTTTGTTCGTTATTTGTGCGGAGTGCCTCTTGGCTTTGTTTGATGTGTGGGAACAACAAAAAAGGATTTGTGGTGTGACAATTTGTGTTGGTGCTTCTACTATTCATCACCCTTTGTTTGCGATGATAGTTTTGCATTTGCTCGGAGCTCTTTGAATGAGTGTATACAAGTGAAAAGCTTGTTGGAAACTTATAAGAAAGCTTCCGGACAAGCATTGAACTTTTCTAAAAGTTGTGTCGCATTTAGTGGGAACGTGAATAAATTTGATGGGCAACTACTAGTTAATTGTTTGGGTGTGGCAAGGGTTGAGCACCATGATCATTATTTGGGGCTTCCGGTATTTGTGGGGAAATCGAAAAAAGCAACCTTTGCTTATCTAAAAGACAAATTATGGAAAAAGCTCGATGGTTGAAGAGGAAACCTGCTGAGTAGTGCTAGGAATGAGATTTTGATTAAAACGGTGGCTCAAGCAGTACCGTTATATACAATGCAAACTTTTTTACTTCCTAAAACACTATGTCAGGAGTTGAACAGTATGGTTGCCCAATTTTGGTGGGGTTTGAGGCTGGCAAGAGGAAAATCCATTGGGTCAATTGGAGAAATTTGTGTAAATCCAAGAGTGAAGGGAGCTAGGATTTAAAGACCTTTATGCTTTTAACCTTGCGTTACTAGCTAAACAAGGTTGGAGATTTATTCATCATCCATCCACTCTTGCGCCCGATTGTTTAAGACAAAGTACTTCCCGGATACTGATTTCCTTGATGCCCCGATGAAGAAGAATGCGTCATACATTTGGAGGAGTATTGTGGAATCCCTAATGATTATTTGGAAAGGCACTAGGTGTCGAGTGAGGGATGGCCTTAAAATTAGAATTTGGGGTCATAGTTGGCTGCCTCGAGCTTCCTTTTTTAAGGTCTTAGTCCTATCCCGATGGGTTGGAGTCATGAGTTGACGATACGTAGTTTACTTATCGATGCAGAGAAGACGGAATGGAATGCATCTTTGATCCGTGGTATTTTCAGTGAGGATAAAGCAACCCTAATTTTTAAGTATTCCTTTAAGCTTATTTCACGCACGGGATGTTTTGATTTGGATAGCAGAAAAGAATGGAATCTTCACAACCAAGAGCGTCTACCATGCGACACGTTCGTGCAGCGATGTTTTGGGGATACACCTAGTGGTTCGGCTTTGAGTGCCAAGGTCAAGTTTCTGTGGAAAGCGTTGTGGAGAGCCCATGTCCTTGGAAAAGTCAAGATAGGTGTGTGGTGGGGTTGTTGGAATGCCATTCCAACTCTGCAAAATTTGTTGAAGCGCAAGGTTATGTCGGAGGCAATTTGTATGTTCTGTGGTAATGACTAGGAAACGGTGGAGCATGCCTTACTACATTGTACGAGGACGAGTGCAATTTTGTTATCTAGTGCATTGGGCTTGCGGACTGGTAGGGATTTGTGTGAGGGGTTCGCGGATTGGATCGCTAGGGTGGCCTCTTCGTTGTTGATAGGGATTTTACAACACACGCAAACGAGCTAAAAACTCCTATAATACTTGCAAGAATGATAAAGTTATTGTAGTATAAACGGATCTCGCAAGGTTGTTCTCCACATGAATTATTAAATAATTCGAAACAAACCAAATTCCAACTAATTATTGTCAAATAGACATTTGAGATAATTGCTTTTTATGACCTAATTTAATAAAACGAATTTAATTAATAAAAATAAAACGATCTACAATATTCAAGCTGAAAGAAAAGGAAAAGTTTTGGAGAAATTAAATTAAGAAAGCATTAGGCTTCCACCATCACCTAGCAATCCTATGAACTTTTACCAATTACTTAATATTTACACATGCCACTTTGAAGGTTAGGTTTTCCTAATTTATATTCTACTTGGAACCTCCAACATAGAACGTATATCTAACATGCAATCCATCCGGACGTTCGGATCAAATCTGAACATGAGAGACTCATTATGCTTTATGAAAACCCTTTGAAAAATCATGCAACCCTTAAGACATGGTGTTCATCTTAAGTGAAATTACAATTATTAATCACAAGAAGCCAGCAACAATTTCAGGGAACCTTCCGACCAAAATTGCATCAAATTACTTTTCTAAAGATCCTAATGATTATCAAGCATTAAGACAATTAGATAGTTTTAATCACAGTGTTTAATAAGTCAAAGCAGGCATGCAATCAATCATAAGCAATTAAATAAAAATTACATATTTATGCTAAGGCTCAAGGCTTCACCCTAACAAAAGGAATTAGTTACTAATATTCATAATTAAAATCATAGAAAATATTATTAAGAATAAAAGGAATGAAAACACTTAAAGTAGAAAATCTCTAAGAACCCTGGCAATTCTCTCTGTCTTCAAAGTTTCATAAAAGAAAGCGTAACCCAAAACTAGGGCCGACTAAACCCTTAAATATCTCCCTAAAAACCAGCCGCACAATCCCTGAGAACCAAGTCTCTTATTTCCACTAGGAAGCTAACTAATAATAAAATATATTAAAACATAAAGTCCTAATTAAGTTAGGATAAACTGCACAGAAACTGTCTAGCCACGTTTTATCCTCAAATCTCATCCAAATTCGGCCCAAGATAGCTTGTTTTAAAGATCAAGACATTCTGAACACATCTCCAAAAGGACACAAAACCATCCAAGATCATCTTAGGCTCCAAAAACGCAATTCAAGTCCAAAACGTCACTATTCCAGCACCGCGCACTACTCATTTATTTTATTGCCAGAAAATCATCGCTTGGTAGAAAAATCTGATATTTTGATACGATCAAGCCAAGTGACTCACAAACGTCTTCTAACTGGAATTACTTCAAAATTCATCCATTTGACCATGCTTTGCTCCAGAGGAAGTCGAAAATCCTATTTTGAAAATACAATTCAAAGTATCAAAATTCTTCCAAAATAATAACCAAAATATACTAAGAATAGGGTTAAATATATAATATAAAATATACTCATCAGTTGTCAAAAGATAGCTTTGAGTTGTTGTTGTTCACGGTGTGGAGCATTTGGACTGACCGAAACTCTTTCTTATGGCGGGGTGTAGTCTCGAGTCCAAGAGATATCCATTCCAGAGTGCAGTCGTGGCAGACAGAATATTAAAAGTGGCATGGAAGTGAACATGGCTACAAGTTGAAAGAGCCTCAGAGGTGGTGTAAACCAGATCAAGGGTGGCTGAAAATTAATTTTGACGGGGCATGGGATGAGCATCGTCAAATGGGTGGCTGCGGAGTGGTGGTAAGGGACACAAGAGGGGAGTTCGTGGCTGCTAAAGCGCAGTGATTTGAGGATGTATGCTCACCGTTGCTGGCCGAGAGCTTGGTTGCTCATGCAGCAGCAGAGTTTGCGCAGAAGTGGGGGGGATGCCCAGCTGCAACTAGAAGGAGATGCCTTAATGGTGGTGGCAAGTATTCAAAAGGATGCTAGCGCCAATTTCACTTAATTTGACCATATCATTGATGACTCCCGACGCTTATTGTGCAATGTTTCCCAGGGCAAGATTAACTTTTGCAAACGGGAGGCTAATAAAGTGGCCCACCGTCTTGCAAGGTTTAGCCTCATCTCTGTTCTTGACGTGGCTTAGTTTGAAGACCCTCTAGATATTATTTTAGATGTTTTTGTAGAAGATAAAATTTAATTTATGTTTATGTTGGTGCGAGACGCTCTTTTTCCATTAGACTAGTTTGATCCCGACAAGTTTTTTATCGAAGCACATGTTATGCACCCTTCTTCAGTTTTATATGTTTTCAACTACTATATATCAATGAATATCGTACTTCCTCTTAAAAAAAAAATTGGTACATTATATAATTAATTTTATTTTGTTACATTAGGTCATCCCGTAATTTGGGCATTTCAGGTTTAATTCAAGCAGTAATGGTGAAGTTAAAATGACTAAATTGT